CCCGAGCCGGCCCGCCGCGCAGCGAACAAACCAAGTGCTGCGAGCGTCTCCGTCGGCCCGGTATCTATGCTGTCACTCCGTGCACCGATAGGAATGACTACTAGTATGATTGTGCTGAGTAACTCCGTCTGACTCTGAGCCAGCCGTGTACTGCGCAACGGTCCGTGTCTTGCCTCAAAGCTCTGTCCACAACGATGCAACGACCGGCTGGCCCACGCTATAAACAGGACAAAATCAGGGAAGAGAACCTCTCTGTGGCTCAGCACGGCAATGAATCTTTCTACGAGACTAAAATGTACAAACGCTCCACAGCATTCTGGCTAGCGCGTTTGTGTATGTCACGAGCGCTAGCGCGCTAGTCGCAGCAAACGCTCGAGCGCTCGCAGGCCAGAGTTACCGCTATTTGGGCTGTTTGCCGCACGCGGCAGGTGGATGGATCACGTGATCCAAGCTGACAAATAAGGTCCGATGGTTCAGCTACATTGAGCCACAAGCGTGGTGGATTCCGTCCGCGTCGCATTCCGTCCACTGCTCGTCGTCACTTGACGACGGGCAATGGAACTAGTACCATCACCATACTATGGCTTGAAAGTGCTACGTCGCAGCATAGCAACAATTAAATATTTCAAAATTTCAAAAACTCGATCCACTTGGATCCAGTTTTTGTATGGATCCAAGCACATTTCAAGCAGTCTTACTCACAGCAAGGTTATGTAGCCAGTGAAACTGACTGATTTGGCTACTGGGGGCGGGGTTACAACTGGTGGCGAAGTAAAAGTCACCCCTGCATACGACATGAGTGGATTGCTATGCACCCACATACTGAGGCAATAGCAAAGTCACACCTGAGTGGATTCAAAATAGAAATCTGATGTCAACTAATTACTTACTACTCCCTGGCCGGTTTTGTCGTCATCACTTTCAAGCCCTATTCAGCCAGCAGGCAGGATCGCGCTTTCCAGGCCGCATAATTTGATCTGTCATTGGTCGACTCCAAGCCCAAGGCGACAGTCATGTGCCATACGGGAAATATACAGTACTGCTCAATGTATTGTATTTTATTATTTTACTTGGGCATTCCCATTTGGCCTAGTATCCATCGTAGATCTCCACGACCGTACTTGCATCCGGCTCGCTCAGTACCTGAAGGATCGGGAAGATGTCCCTGCCCTGGTCGCTGTTCTCCAGCACCATGAATCACGTCCCTCTAGAAAATCAATACCAAAGCTGGCAAATACTGTCCTGCAGCGCCTTCGCCTGATGAGCCTGGACACCGCTAACAAAGAGACTGTTAAACAGGCCCTCAATGACAACCGCCGCCGTGAACTTCGAGCGATGCCTCTTCATGGTCGCTATTGGGCACGTGTTGATGGCATCCTGGACATGCAGCTCTCGTTTTCCTGTTTCAGATCCCAGACAATGCGTCCTGAAACGGAAGGCTTTCTCATTGCTTGCCAGGATCAGGTGATTGCCACGAGAAACAATATGCGCCATATCTACAAGAGGCATGATGTCGTGGACCTCTGTCGTGTATGTGGTGCACCCGGAGAAAATATGGACCACATCATCGCCTGCTGTCCAGCCCTGGCACGGACTGCATACATTGCCCGGCATACCTGTGTGGTCCAGGCCCTGCATCGTGCGCTGTGTAAGCAGCATGGATTACCCAGCAGTAAGCAGCTGGTACAGGTCACAAGTTCTGCCAGTTGCAAGCTGATGTGGGAGATTTCCATTCCCACAGATCGAGTAATAAAAGCGAACAGACCAGACCTGGTGCTGATGTTGAACTCTCTATCGCCCACATTAATATTGCTAGTCTAAGACACAAAGTGCATGACATTCATAAAATACTGCATGGTCATGGAATACACGTTTGGTCAGTCAACGAGACATGGCTAGATGATTCCATCAGTGATGCGGCCGTGCACATTCCTGGCTATTCAATCTTCCGCCGCGACCGGGAACGGCATGGCGGTGGTGTCGCCCTCTACATCCAAAGCACCCTGCCCGTGAAACTGCTGCCACTACCATCGCTGGTTACAGCAATGGTAGACTCTCCTGAGGTGCTTTTGGTGGAGATTCGCGTGCCCAATTCAGTTAGAGACGATCGGATCACTGTGGGTACTGTTTATAGATCGCCAGCACAACCAGTCGGTTTTTGGGACGGACTCTCCTCTGCTGTTGACTCTATCATAGCAAGAAATGAGAAGACAATCCTTCTCGGAGATTTAAATGTGAACGTACTAGACACCATATCTCCCCAGTATGGTCGCCTGCGCCAGTACGGTCAGGAATTTTGTTTTCGCAACCTTGTGACCCAGCCGACACGACCGCTTTCCGGAAAATGTCTTGACCTAGCGTTGTGTTCAGAAGATTTTAAGACAAACGCATATTGTCATTTCTATGCGCGGTATAACTGATCACGACCTGGTTGTACTATAGGCTGCGGTGCCTGTTACCATTCCAACCAGAGTGGTGCGGCAGGTACGGAAGCCGCCATTGTGGAAGGTAGCTGCAGAGAAATGCAACGAGGCTATGTGCAATGCACTTGCTGACTCTGCCGCACTAACACATGATTCGCCCAGTGTAAACACCCTATCAACAAGCTTCTCTGACGCATGCACTAGAGTTCTGGACGAGCAGTCACCTCTAAAGCAGGTTACTATCAGCGCCAGACCGAAGCCTAAGCTACAACCTTGGGTGAATGACAGACTGCGTAATTTGTTCCACAAGCGGAAACACCTCCACATGAAAGTCTTAAAATGCCCACATGATGAGTCGGTGAAGCCACAATACAGGACGACAAGAAGGGAAGGAACCCTGCTAAATCGAAAACTGAGAAGAGAGTACTACAACAGACAATTTCGTATCGTCAAGGATAAGCCAAGGCAGCAATGGGCGCTTCTCAACACGCTCACAGGACGCAATATCATCCATGAGCAGCCCCAAGCTAGCTTAGAAGACCTTAGCTCCACATTTCAATCCATCGTCACGGACCCGAATCGTTCAACTTCACTAGACACTCAGATGACGGGTACCCCGACAATAGGCGGCGCAGACACCCTCTCTTTCCATGCATTTCGTCCCGTTTCGGTATTGGAGGTAAAAGACATGTTGAAGCACTTGAACTGTACCAAGGCGGCTGGGTCGGATGGCATTCCCCCCTTGCTCCTGCGCCTCTGCGAAACTTCGGCCGCGGGCACTTTAACTCAGATCAGCAATGAATCTTTGCGCAATGGAGTTGTCCCAGATGTGTACAAATTGGCAACGGTGTGCCCTGTCTTCAAGTCAGGAAACAAATGTGACCCATCGAACTACCGGCCCGTGTCACTTCTTCCAGTTGTTTCGAAGCTGCTGGAGAAAATAGTACATCGTCAACTGGTTCGTTACATTCAAGATCATGCTGAGCTTCATATCCTCCGCGATGAGCAATTTGCTTACCGGCGAGGGCACTCCTGTGAGGATGACTCTTGCGGTTGACCGCTGGATAACAAGTATCGACAAGCAAGAGTGCGTTGGTGTGGTCTTTGTCGATATGAGCAAAGCGTTCGATAGGGTGCGCCATCAACTCCTTCTCCGCTACTGAACCGAAGGCATCTCTGTTCGCGCACCTGCAATGGCCCAGTCTGGCATGGCGGCGACACATCCAGTGCCTCCGGGAGCTCCATCACCTGGTCCACCACCAGACCACTGCCCTTATGGAGCTGGGCTATAGTCTCTCCACCAGCGCGCGGCGCCCTCTCCAACTTGTACCGCCTGCCAGGGCGAACAGCTACTCGCGTGCCACCTTCCTCTTTGTTACCGCTGCCACCTGGACTTCTCTCCCCACTGACATTAGAACCACCCAAAATAGTCATTGCTTTGTGTCTCGTGTCCGTACTATCTTTGCCAACACCCGCTTCGAACCCGCTGGTTTCATTCCTTCCAGAGTTTCTATAACATAGCAAAGAATGGTATGGCTGATTTCTGCAGTATGCATTTGTTATAACCCTTCCTCTTCTCAATCTATATGTTATAATTTGCAGATATATTCCCAGTAAGCCATGACCGGAGACCCCCTCGACTTAGGCCTCGGCCTTTGGGGAATCCATAAATAAAATTAATAAAATAAATAAATTAATGAGTTGCGGTCGATTGGCATTGGAATGGTTCGCAAGCTATCTCCAAGATAGACGTCAGTCCGTGAGAATCGGCAGAAGGCAAGGAGAAGCCACAGAATGCACGCGTGGTGTCCCGCAGGGGTCAGTGTCGGGCCTCTGCTATTCTCACTGTATGTGAGACATGTTCCTGGACTGTTCGAGCACGCACAGTCTGACGCTGATGATATAGCCTTCTACCTCGCCTCTAAGTCAATTGACCAGCTCCAGCACCAACTAACAAGCGACTTGAACCTGCTACAGACATACCTGGAAAGTATTGGCCTGTTCTTGAATCCCGTGGAAACGAAATTCATGGTGCTCCGGAGGAAGCCTCTTTCCCTCGCCCCAGATTTGGCCATTGCATGCGGTGATTTAGATATTTCACCTTCCCCAACTACTCGCTATCTCGGTCTGATTATTGATGAGCACCTTACGTTTGAAGACCAGGTTGACCATGTTTGCCCGTCTGTTTATAAGAAAATAGGTGCGTTCCGGCGATGCCGCCGCTCAGTAGATCATGCCACAAGACGCATCCTTTACTTATCCCGAATAAAATCCACCATTGAGTATGCCAGTAATTCGTATGTGCACTGTTTAACTTCATATCTGTATTCTCGCCTTGTTACACTAAGTCACACTGGTATGAAGAAGGTCTTCGGCCTTTCTAGGCGCACCCCAACTGCTTTCCTATTCCAGCATGCTAAATTATACTCGCTGGAGTCTCGCCTCAACTTGCGACTTTTTGTCTTTGTGTTCCGATGTATCAACAAGCTGATAAGTCCCCTGCTTTCCTCTATGTTCACTCTACAATCAGCTGCTACTTGTACAGATAGGCGCACTAGAGGACAGTCCTTCTCGTCTATTTCTTTGCCTGCTGCTAAAACTAGATATGGCATGTTCTCTGTTTCTTTCCTTGGCGCTGATCGGTGGAATTCTCTGCCTATGTTGTGTCGCCAAGCTGATCAACCATCCGCTTTCATTTCGCTCTGCAAAGAGCACTTAGGGTTCCCTGTAAAATGACGGCAACGTCTGTAGGGATTTCCCGAACAAAATAATAAATACTACTACTACTACTACTACTACTACTACTACTACTACTACTACTACTACTACTACTACTACTACTACTACTACTACTACTATTGCTGGTTCTGGATGATCGGGCACTACTCTTGGACGTCAGTGTCCCATTGGACCACAGGGTCAATGAGAAGGTGTAGGAGAAGATCAGTAAATACCTGCCCTTGGCAGCAGAGCTGAGGAGGATCTGGAACAAAAAGATAACTATTGTTCCAGTTATCATTGGTGCTCTGGATGGTGTGTCAGGAACGAGCAGCAGCCACATCTTAAGTCTTGGGCTCCACGCGGCCGTGATCCAGCGGCTTCAGCAATGTGCTGTTCTGGGCACCCTGAGAATTGTGCGGTCGGTAACTGGTCATGGATGGGAGAGTGGCATGGTCGGAATGGCCGGTTGACCTTATGTTAGCCCGTAATGTCTCGATGTGTCTCAGTCTGTGTGTTTTATGATTGTGGTGCATCATGTGCTGTGTGACGAGCCGAGAGGCGTGAATTTCTGCCATATGCTCCCAGTCATGTATTGTCTTTCTCCGCATATGCCATTTTATCTCGTCTGAGTTTGTCTTGCTTGGAGTTTCCCATGTGCAGCATGCTTGGCAGGGGCGTAGCCAGGATCATGGTCAAGGGGGTGCCCATAAATTTCTTCCAATAACGTTCTTTTGAGGAATCTTGTATATGTATGCATATTGTTTGCATGCTACAGTCCATTTCAAAACTATAGACGCGTAGGGTTTTTGAAATATTTTAAATTTGGCTGGAGTTTTTTGAGAATAGTT